GGGAGGGGGTGGGCACGGGGAAGGGAAGGATGGGAGGGGGCTTGCGGGGTTGACTAGGCAGACAATGAGTAGGTAGGTGAAGGTGGGTGGTTTTGGGGAGCCAGATTGTGACGAATGAGACTGAGGATGGGCTGAGGGATCAGGAGGCAGAGCAGGGCTTGGGCTATGGGGGTTATTGGGGGAACAGCGAGTCCCGGGATTGCTTGGTGTTAGTAAATAGGGGAAACGAGGCTTAGGTGTTTGTAAGGACAGGTATGGGCATGGCGAGTCTAAGGTCCCAGAGGGTGGTCATTGAGTTATTGACTGGCACAGTAGAGCCTGGCAATATGTTGTATGTTAACTTTTAGTTACCTTCTTATTTGTTTGGTCTGTAGACTGACTGGCACAGTGGAGAAACCACCTCGAAAACGGAAAAGCAGGTAAGGCCAATAAATGCCTTCCTCTTTTGCTTCGTGTTCGTGTTTTTCTATTTGCTTGATTGCACCTGTGCCATACTGCATAATTGTACATGGTCAGGAGATGAAATTTCCTATTTAGCTCCTTTTTTTAGTGAATATAACTACATGCAAGGTTTTCCTTTCAAATTACTACCTCTACTTTTTTTTTTTTAAATTTAAGATAATGTGGGAAACATTAAAAAAATGAGAAATCCCTATTTTTTTTCTTTAGTTATAATTTCAACTTCTCTACCGTCTCTGAAAAGCACACATCTGCTGTAGTGCTTTATCACCTGTAATCCATGAGGAAACCCAAGATAGTACATAGATACTGTCATCAGTATTGTCATCATTGTTTTGCAGAATAAGGAATTAAGTCATAGGCCAAGTATATACCCAAGATCATACATCTGTCTAATAAATGATAAAATGAGGATTTGAATCTGGGCAGTTTGATTGCAGAGCTTAAACTCTTTAACTGTTAACCATTATACTATAATGCTTCTAATACACATTTATAAATATATTTTCTTATTGATTTCTTTTACATCATATGTAGAATACAAATAATAGAAATGGTTGATCCTTAGGAAAATAGAAAGTAACAAGGAGGGCATAAGTAGGCCACAGACATGTGAATTATTCCTTAAGTAATGGAGAATATTCATTCCACAGATATTTTTGAGTGCATTCCGTGTGTCAGGTACCACAAAGTAATTCTGTGGAGTCATTAGAAGCTTCATTTTGTCAATATGTTGCTTAAAAAAAAAAAAAAAAGTAAGCTACAGTAGTGATGATGTGACCAAGACTATTTTCTTAGTTAATACCTGCCAAGTTATTGCTTAGAAATCTTCAATGTTAGGTAGATATAAAATGCTCATAGTGAAGTACTGGTAGCCAAAGTACCTTTGCTATTCTTTAGTCCTGTACTGCTCAATATGATAGTCACATGCAGCTACTGAGCACTGAAATGTGAGTAGCATGTCTGA